CTAACGGAAGAAGAGTTCGATGTCTGGAAGATTCAAAGATACGTGAAACGCGATATGGAAATAAATAGGAATTTCTTTCTCCTGCTAAGGAAAGTTTCAAATTTTTTTGAATTTCCCAGCACAGGATCGCGTTTCGCTTCCTCGGCGAACGAAGTTTCCCACGCGGGCTGTGCGCAAACTGTGCTCCAATCGCGAGAATATCCCGCAATTTTTACCGGGTGAAAAGAACCCGCGAGCAAGTTTCGAAAGACCACTGTGCGGCAACCCACATTTTCGCTACGATTACCGGTTTACTACACTCGGTTCCGTCTGAAAATTATTCCCGTCTGACCTGTTTCCCGCTACCGACGCTACAACGCGACTAATCAATGCTTAGACCCCGTTGCGTATTGTATCGCGAAATCTTCCCCTGGACTAGCTGACTGGTTGCTGATGGGATTCGAACAGCGAAAAGTTTGGGAAAGTCGCTTTGAGTACGACCCGGTGCTTGAAATTTAAATTTACTTACTCGTTTGAATAAACGGATTTAAGTGTACAATGGAAGCTAATAGGACAAAGAGAACACAAAAACGTTTGAAGTAATTTAGATTTTAGCGTGGATTGAGAATGGAAGAAAGAGTCAACATCAGCGAGATATTTGGTCAACCTACATACACATAGAAATATATAGACATAGGATCAAATTGGTTCAACTCGTTCGATAAAAGGGAGAAATTTTCTAAAAGGTTATTTAGATTAATTTTATATAATAAAGGGTTGCAATTAATGTCGGACATTTTTCAGAATGTCCATAAAAATTCTTAGAAGTCCCACATACTCTTGGAAATCTGAGAAATCCTGAAAGCGTAACTCGAAGTTTCCAAGTTTTCTTTAATATTTATAAATGATAACTTTACATTAGTTTGTGTAATGCTAGATATTCATCACGCCATCAAATACCATTGCAACTCTCAGGAATTTCAAAACTTCCAGAATTTTCAAGATATAACCGAAAGACTTTCGAGAGTTTTAATCTTCAAATCGTGTGTCATTCGAAGTGATTCAAATTTATCGTTAAAGGGGTAAATAATTGAATATACACAGTGCAATTTCATTAAAAAGTTTGATATTCTCATTACGATTGACGAACGTTCTTTTAGTATTAATTTTCAAGTTTCATATTTATTTCTAATAAACTTTAGAAACACGTATTTCAATCATTTTAAAATTTCAACAGTGAGATTACCTTAGAGATGATTAAATTTGAGTGAGATTAAATTCGAATTGAATCACAATATAAAATATAATGAATTATTTTTTATTACTACTTATCAATTAACTAGCAAATATTAATATAAGTTTCTTATTAATTAATTAATCATAATTAAATTCATATTATCAATTATAATTAAAATATATATTACATGTTATACTCGTCAAAATGATCATACGAGGAATAAATAATATAGTTATTATATTATTTCTTTACACGACGATCACACTCTGCAGAATTTCATTTAATATCAGCTTAATCTAATATCAGCTAATATCAATTCTTTTTATCAATATCTATTAACTGCGTTACATATGCTAAGATTAAATTAAAGAGAAAAAAATTCATTTAACTTGTATTTTGAATACTGTGTATGCACTGCAGATTCGAGGTGATTCGAGGTGTTTCAAATCCCATCGCTAGCTACTCCATCGGATCAAGATCTGTGAGAGTCTGTTTTAAAATTCGATCGATACTGCGGAGAAAATTATCGGCGAAAAATGAACGTAGTTCATCAGACTAGACTGAGAGAACCAGCGTGATGCATAAGTTTCCGTGGCAGTGTCACCGATGATCCATTGCAGTTCTCATTCTGCACGAATCACCTGCCGTGACTCGTTATCTCTCTGTTTAAACGCAGTTCAAATACAGACTACTAGTCTACGCGTAAACACACGATTTAATGTGTACCGTACTCATTTCAACGTGCTATATAAATACATACATCCGTGGAAACACGCTATACGAATTGTAACTCCAGTCTGCAATTAATGTCGATTGCAATTCACGTCCGATAATACTTTCGATCGTTTTCGATTCCAATTAACGCGCGCGCGCGACATCCGATTGAATAATTTTGCCTGACGCGTTTAACGTTTCGATTAAACTTTCGAAAGGGGAAATTAATTAAATGCTAACTGGGGTAAATATATTATTTTCCATTGCGTGGGATAATTGTTGAAATGAGAGGGCAAGAAACGTTAGCCAATCAAGGAGAGATTCGTTTGCAACTTCGTGAATCATTTTATATTCTGTGTCGTTAAATTTTAACTTTTTTTTTAAATTCCTAGCAGTACGGCTATTCAGTATTCTTAGATTCTGTAAAATTTCGTGAAATTTTAAGAAATTGAAATATTTGTAACATTATGATAAGCAGACTGCGGATTTTTACGCGTTTTCAAATATCTGTGGACATGACAAAGAAATCGTACCAAAGTGATCAAAATGTTGCCAACTTGTTACTTAATTTTTTCTAAATTTGCAACGATACATTTTCATAAACTTATATGATTTTCCTAAAATATAAGATAAATAGAAGATTATGCTCTGTATTGTAAGCTAATCCCTATTGGACTATAAACTATGATAACTATAATGATCGATAGTTTTAGTTTTTATATGTTTCATCTATCTACGCGTTTCAATTAATTTATTATTCTACACATTTTATATATTTCTGAATATATTAAATGCATCGTGCGTATTTTCACACCGTTCACAATTTCCAGATCAAATCCACGGATTAAATCCGCAGTTTAATGATAATTTGTCCATCGTGTAAAGATAACTTTCTTTTTGACGCCGATTGGTATAATTAATTTATTTGCAGCTCGCGCCGCGATGTTGGAATCGTCGAAACGTGGCGCAACGAAAACGAAAGAAAAACTTTTTTCCTTTCTTACAATCGCGTATCTATAATACTTTTACTTTCGTCTAGAATCTAGACTCCCTCGTCCAATATATCCGTACATATTCAACGAGAGGAACACGAGTTACTTCGCTGGTAGATATAATTGATAGAGATAATTAATTCATAGCCAGAGGAGTCGAGCAACGGTTGAAAATAGAAGGTGCAAGCGCGAGCGAGAGAGGAGGCGAACTTATCAGTTTCACATCGGTCATTGATATGCACGGAAATCCCCTTGACAGTTTTCTGGCCTGAACTAAAGGCTGCTCGAGCATGGATGACCGAGAAACGCCGGCCAACAATTACATTACGCGCCTATGTCAGCTCCTGGTGGTATTCCAATTAAAGAAAAACATGTAACTGTAAAATGGTTAAAAGGAAAATCTTTATTCGCGACGCTATCTTCCGATTTAATGTCGAGACTATTGATTTCTTTTTTTTTTTTTTTATTTAATCCTTATATACGTCCCTCGACACGAACGTGTCAATTCGATACATTCTTCTTACGAAATTTTTACATTACTTTGCATGAATTTACGTAATTTTTCAAACGCATCGTCAGAATTGGAAAATATATTTGGACACATTGTCTTATAATTATTATGTTACAACTATGTAACAAGTGACAGAATTAAACAAGGTAAAATGGTCATGAAATTGAAATTGAATTCGCGTAAATCTTGATTGAATACACTACACGAATTGAATGCACAATTGAATACGGTACAGAAATTTAATCTGGTACTAATCAATACTAATTTACAAATCTATTTGTTTATTGAATTTCCGAATATATTCTAATTTCAAAACTATTTCTTTTTTTTTCATTATACGAGTCTTTTACCATTATGTCGATTTGATACCACGAGAGACGAATTAAATTGCAAGAATGACGGATGAATAAGAATTAACAGGACATCTAGTTTCTCCCATTTTTTTCTATTTCTGCGCGATTCTTGATGACATCTAACATCCGAAGTCTCGCTCTTTTCACATTTTCGAAACAGAGAATACCTCTTCATTCTCTCGGGATCAAGTTCAATTTTACGCACCTTCGTTCGTCGATTAGCTAATATAATTACTTGCACGTTGCACGATCTTTTCGAGCAGTTGAAGTCGACCGATCCTTCACCCTTTAGTTTATTGGCGTCACTATGTCCGATAGTGTCTGCGACGGACATCGAAGTTTAGCTTAACGTTACCTATAGACTTCGTTAGATATCCGAGTTGAGAGTAGATTCATCTACGGAATGAAACGGAACGTACCTGTGCATGTTTTCTCTCTAAGGATCGCACGTGCTATCTTTCGAGGCGATCATCCGACTTTCGTCGCGACGAAACGACGAAATCAGTTTTTCTTTTTTTTTTTTTAATTTTCTAGCGATTCCTTGGCAATATCACGATCTAATAATTTGACGGCACAAAACGGAGTATTCCCTTACGGATGATCGAGCAGAGAGCGCCGATCTTTATTCATCTATGCAATTGGAGCACAAAGCCGGTGCAACCGATGTGATTCAGCTTTGATCCAAACGCACCGGAAGAATTATCTCTGTTCAATAGAACTGACTGCGATATTTCTATTGCACACATTATCGTCCATAAGTATTTGGGACAATTAAAAAATTAACACGTCATTAAGTTTTATAATCGAAGAATAGTTCTCTGCTGTTGATCCAATAATTAGACTGCGGATTTTTATGCAAATTTGTATTCTCTGCATAAATCTAACTAAACAAATGAAATTTAAGTAGAAATTTATTTTTAAATATTACGCATCTCGCGCTTCTCACGACTTTTAATCTCCCACGAATGCATAAAAATTCGCGCTCTATATATTGTCTATAATAATTTTATATATATTATCTAATAATTTTTCGATACATACATTGGTTAATACTTCTTTACAGAGAGTGTCGAGCTGCGTCAATCGATGCATTGAAGAACATTTAAAAAATTGAGATTAATTTTCACCTTTACGTCCATAGAAAGATTAATAACATCAGATTATCATCACGAGACTATTCACCTTTCAGTATATAACATTTTTCGATAATAATAATGACGTAAATCAAGGGGATAATATTACGTAAGACGCACGTATACTTTATGCTTGGATATGTTCAAGTACTTGTGGACGATATTATACATCGAGCCAAAATCTTCGTCAAAATGGCTCTCTTTTGTTTGTAATAAATCTACCTCGAGATCTATCACCAGCAGATCTAACACCAAAGGAGCACGATATTAAATATCTTGTTAAAATGTCAAACGGCGCACGTACAAGTTGATATTCCACGCACCGTCACACGCAAAACGCGCGAACACGGACAAACGTATATATACACACGCACACACGAACCAACCGCATTAGACGATCACAAACGAGGAGAGACAAGTGCACAGACCCTTCGGCGTCGCATCGATCATTCGTGTGCACGTTATTCTGTTGCCTGTTCTAGCATCTTCCAGTGATAATGGCCATTCTAAAAACAGAATCGTCGCGACGAATCGGTCGCACGGACAGCGGAAATAACGGAATGCAGCAGCACGCGCGCGCGCTCGCGCGCGTGCAATGAATCGACCTGTCTCTCTCGAATGTCCTCTCTCTTTTTGCTGTCTCTCTCTCTCTCTCTCTCTTTCTCTTTCTATCTTTCTTTCTCTGTCTCTTTTGCTATCACTCTTTCTGTCTCTGCCAATCTGTCTTTTTCCTTTTGCGAAATATCTCAAAGCTTGAGATGAAAATCGCGTATCGAAAAACGCGAAAAGTAAAGTACTACCACATTCTGCAAACAACAAATTTTCCTCGAAACGAGGCGACTCAACCTCGCCCGGAGTTCTACTTTCCAACCAGGCTTGGGCACTTTCGGCTTTCGGGCAAACATTTGAAAAATGATTATTTAAAAAAAAAAA